AGTCGTACTTAAACGGGGTGGTCTTTTTCATACTGGACAGGGCCCCCATAAGAGCCTCCCAATCCGTCATATATGTTGTAGCGGCGGCGGCTTCCCCGTATCTTACAAGTCATTCTTTTAATGACTCGTTCAGTTTTTGGTATAACATTGTTAGGTTTTGTTTTGGCAGGATATATTTCTTTACCCCAATGAACTGAAGGGAGAAAGCTTCCTTCAGCTTCTCCCAACAGGAGATGGACTTTGGTTTGAGTGTCTGGAACCATCTTCAGGCAGAGTTCGTCAAGTGGTTTCAGAATGCTCGGCACATTATCTCCTCTGCATATCCATGCAGAAACATGTGTCCCGTGTACATTTCTAGGTGATCGTTGGGATCCCCTCTACCATCATATGGTAGGATAGTTGGGGACTTGTATTTGTTGGGTAAAGGCGGCGCCATGATTTCTGCGGTAAACGAGTGGTCGTGAGTTCGGCTGGGAGTGATGTCGACTACTTCCGCCACCTATCTAAGGTTCTTTTGTAGGTGGCTTACCTGGCTTCTGATATCTATCTTTAAACCGGTGACGTCACCAGTGAACCTTTCTTCTAGGCTCGTCACACGCTCCATAATGGCTTTAGCCTCGTCTGTAGAGATTGCAGAGCTGGCCCTTTTTTAGGCTCCTGCCTTCTTCGTATTCAGCTTGTCCCTCAGGTCTCCGCCTTCTTGCACTATCCCCGAATCTCCTGGGATATTCTTTCTCGGGTTCCGAGGTGGCGCTTCAGGGTTTTCCAGATCGGTGAGTGCTCTTCTCTCCTGGGTTCGTCGCCTGGCAGCCCTTTGTCAGCTACCAAGGGACTTGGACGGTCGAAATCTTGGATTATCTCCCCTGGCATTTTCACTGTCCCTGATCCCTTCTGGGGCACCCCGGTGGTCACCAGCATCCTGGTTCCCAGCCATGGCACCTCCTGGTGGTCTCGAGGCATCTTCCAAGGGAGGCATGGAATTTCTTCCTTCCAATCGCTCGACAACGGTCATTAGTCCTCGAACCAAGTCGGTCAGAGTGTCCAGCCGGGCCTGCATCTGTGCTGGATCAAGCAGCGGTGTGCCTGCAGGTGGAGCTTCAGCCCTCGCCGGGGGTTGATTCCCCTGGTTGAGCTGATTCCTCCCAGCCCCACTGTTGGTTGGATGTGTGACATTTTCTTTCGTTTGACTAGTCAGATTTGAAGCACCATTTTTCTTTCTTGGAGGCATGGTCATTTGTTGTCTGGGGTTGAATACGTGAACCAGAGATTCTAGGTTCGATCCCCAGTGGAGTCGCCAATTGTTGATGGTGGAATTTCGTCAACAAGGCGAGATATGCTTATGAAAGTACGGACGCACAGGAGTTTTATAGTGGTTCACCCTTCGCAACAAGAGCTACATCCACTATTTTATATTTCTCTTGTCTTTGTTCTTGCAAGTTACATATGCATAAGGAAAAATCTCCCCTCCCTCTCTCAGGGGCTCTTCCCCTTTTATAGTGGATATTGCATGAGTCTCTGCCCAATGGTAGGCAGTTTGGACTATTTGACCGTGTCTTTCATGGGGCCCGCCCACTCGAGTGGTCTATGGCCTCTTTTGTTTAGACCGTAGCCTGCCATTACCTTTTGGACTGTTCACTGCTCCAATTTGTCCCCCCATTACGGCTCTGTAGATCCCCTGTAATAGCTAGTGATCCATTCCAAGCAGTTTTAGGGGCTTGTAATCATTTCATGTACAACTGACCTTCTCCAAACCCAGACGCAACCTCGGGATATTCGGCTGATCTTCTCAGGGGTCTTCCTTGGGACGTGGATCCAGTTGCTTGTGCTCTGTCGTCTGCGCTCATGCTAACATCGGCCGAGGGTAGCCTCTCTTATGGCTGACTTTATCGCATTACTTTGCCCGGGCTGGTCTCGTAGACCTCGACTGTGTATACAGTCGACGGTCTCGATCTCCTTATACATTCGACTCTCCTGCCATACAGGAGAGACCAATGAGGCTCGGGCGTCGAGGGCTAAATGATGTGGAAGGCATGGGGCCACCTGTGGCCTGATCGTTGTCCGACGTGTCGACGTGAATTTTCCCACACAACAGTTAGTGAAAGGTATTTTAGACATTTAATACAACACAAGATCAAACCCGCAACTCCTCAAATTCCATCCTAGCTAAACCGTCCCCGGTGCCACTAGACCAAATGGTCTAAGGCTTCTCTAGTATGATTAAGTTAATAGATTATACAAAAGTAGATTTAAAAAAAATAGTGTCATGGATTTTAACTTTTAGGGACTTTTTATTGTAAATTTGGTACGCGGAGATTTAAACAGATATGAGATACACTCTCCTTAAAGCTTTTGCCCCTCTAGGTTGAGATTGCTTTAGGTTTTAACAACAATCCGCTTTTAGGATATAATATTTTATTGTAAACTTGGTGCGTCCTTAAAACTTTTACCCCTCTAGGTTGAGATTACTTTAGATTTTAATAGCAAACCGCTTTTAGGATATAATAAGAAGAGATTGTATTCCTTCTCGCTTACCATGAAATAAGAAATTTATAATTGGGATGATTTAATCCCTTTTATAAAATTTGAAAGGCTCATAATATGACCCAAAGCGCCTCTATAACCTCACAATACGTAAGTGTGCGAGTCACTAGGTGTGTCACTTAGTACTTTTATAGCTCACTAAAAAGTGTGACCCTTTATAAAAGTACTAAAAAACTTTATGTCTTTTCCACGTGGGACAATGAAATACTATACTTTTTTATTTTATACTTGAACAACTCTTGACACTTTACCTTTATTTTTGGTTGAATTTTATAAATCTTGGACATTCCACGAAAATAAATCCCCACATGTATTATAAGTAGTGCTGAAATATTAGACGGGATGCCCGCGACTACTGAAAACTCTGAATTTTTACCCGATGACCGAGCCCGAATTTTCAAGCTGCCCGACCTGAGAAAGACCATGGACGGACTTCGGGTAAGTTTTGGCTGCCTGAGCCCGGTCGGTTAGCCCGAGACTGCCGGAGTGCCTGAAATTTTTTTTAATATTTTTTATATATTTATATACTATTATATATATTATATATAATTTTGTTTACTAATTGTATATGGTATGTATATAAATGATTTTTAAGTTATTTATTGTAAAAATTATACAAAAATTATAAGAGAGATTGCAAATTGAAATTTGAAATGAACACGAATTATATAAAAAAATTATTTATTTATTAATTTTTAAATAATCTTTGTTGGCAACGGCATACCAAATATCCGTCGTTAACGCAATGCAACCACTAGTAGAGTGTAAAAGGTTGATTAATGCTTCCCTTTCTTGTTTATATAATTTTAATGCATCTTTTCTAAGAGTAGCTCTTGAAAAAAATTGTGCATTAGGATTATGTACAATTTTAATATAACGCTGTCAATTCCTTTATTTGGTAAAACTAAGTGGCTGATCTAATGTGGCTAGTAATCGTGCCATTTCCATACGATCGACTTGCGGATCGTATTTCTAAGTGGTTAGACTGTCGGTTTGACAATAAAATGATAATTGTATTTGGCAGAAATCGGGTTCGCCTCCTTACTTTTGAAGACACTTTTTAGAGTGTCTTCTCAAGTGTGTTGTGCCGTGAATAATGTTACCTTGTAATTTATCACCACAATATTTATATTGAGCTATGTATTTAATATTATCGTTATTGTCGACCTCCTCGAATGTGTTGAAGTGCTCCCAAACTGTTGTGGCGCGCTTGCATTTCTTCTTGGAACTTGTAACACTTGCATTGGCACTTCCACTTGCCTCTCCTCCACGCCCATCACCATTACGACCACGAGATCCACGACCTCTAGTGCGTCCACTATGGCTCGGATTTGCAGTTTACTCAGCAGCTCTTTCTGGTGTTTGCGATTCCTGCGTTTGAAAAATATTAGTAGGAAATTGTCCTTCTTCAATGTTGAATTGGGCATCAACAGGAATATCACCACCATAACCGGAAGAATCTATTATGAAAAATAAGAGAGATCGAGAGCGCTTTTAGAGAGATTAAGAGAGATCGAGAGAGATTTGAGCGAGATTAAGAGAGATTTGAGAGAGATTGAGAGAAGTTAAGAGAGGATGAGAGTTTTTGGGTGAGGAAAATGGTTGGGGGAGGGGGTATTTATAGGGAATTTTTTAGCTTGAAAAATTCTTTTTTTCCCTAAAAAATTCGGCTCCAACGGTAACTAAATTTCGGCGGGTCGGGTCGGGTTTGAGCATCTCGGGCAACGGTAGAAAATAGAGTCGTTGGAGTCGGGCAAAATGGGCGGCGGGTCGGGTTGGACAAATATAGCCGTTGCAATCAAAAGTTCAGGTAAAAATCAGGCTAATGGTCAAAAAATTATTTAGATTGGGTCGGGTATAAAATTAAAAAAACTAGCCGTTTTTAGGTATTTGGGATTTGGGTTACGGTGAAAAATTCAAAAAAAAAAAAAAAAAAAAAAAGGCGACCGGGGGGGCGCGCCCCCC